TCAATTGTTGTTGTTGTTGTGAAAGGAGAAGGTCAGCAAAATTGAGGAAGCCCCTCATGAGATGGATTGACTAGTAACCACAGCAATGGGTTTAAGCAGATGAGGGTGGGAGAGGGGCAGGCAGGCTTCCTTCCCTTGTGTGAGCGTAGTGTTGTTGTGAGCCATGGGCAACTACAAGGCACCTAACCACAAGAACAGGGCTGGGGGGGGGGGAGGGAAGTGAGTACAATTGTTCAGGAGGCACAAGCCTGCCAATGGTAATGGAAAATTTAGCAACAGATTCAGGTGACGGTTGCACAACATGACTGATGTAATCGACGCCACTGCAAAACATGTCGCAGTGGCACATAGTGTATTATGTATAAGGAGTCCTGTTGGTATAGCACTCAAAGCACTCAGCTGTAACCAAAAGGCTGGTGCTTTGAACACCAGCTGCTCTGTGTGTGTGTCAGGGGGTCGGGTGGCGGCAATCTGTTCACATGAAGATCTCAACCTTGGGAACCCTCTGAGACAGTTCTACTCTGCCACAAGATTGCTTGTGCCAGAATCAACTTGATGGGACAGGTTTTGAGTTATTTCTTTGTGTGAGTGTGTGTTTTGGTGGTTACCTACATTATAATCTCAATCTTAAAAAATTCTATTCTGTAAATTTGAAGGGGGAGAAAAAAGGTCACCGGACTAGAGTATCTACTTTCAGAGGGAATGGATGACCATGTAAGTTATTTACACAGGTTCAGGAAGAAACTATCCCTTTTCTTACCAGAATGTAATTGAATATGGGCTTGGCCAACAGTTCCATTTAATTAGGGTGATAATTCCACTTTTGGAGCAAGGTTCTACTTTACACATAGGAATGACAGCTATGAAAGCCTTCTGGGAAAACTCGTCTGGTACAGTTTTATGACTTATGAAATCCTAGTCTTACAGACAATACGAATTTCATTTCCTGGCAAGTCAAGGATATTGACAAACAGGGGGATTTTTAGAGAAAGTAGTGTGGATAAAGAAGGTAAGAATTCTTCTGACACATGAAAGTAATTCTCAATCCAAAAGGCTTGACAAATCTTCCACACACAAATTAACTGTAAAGCCTTAATATTACATGGCTCTAGTTTTATTACCCACACAAAAAGGGAGGAAATTATTTTTACATTTATACATGTACATGTACTATATACATATACATATATAGTATTATAGAGTCAGAACCGACCCAAAGCTGACTCTCTGGCGGGTTTTCAGAGGCTGTTAATTGAACAGGAAGAGATTGCCCATCCTTCTCTCTTGGAACAGCTGCTGGTCTCAGACTGCGTGCTTTCAGGATTTCAGCACAGCTTCTTGCCACGAGGCCACCAGAGCTATCATATCATATAATCATATCATATCATATCATATCATATCATATCATATCATGTTGTTATGTGCCATCGAGTCACCTGCAACTCATAGTGACCCTATACAACAGCTCTGAACCCTGCTCTATCCTGTGCCAATCTTATTGTCTCTGACACACCTT